TTACGAAAGTTAAATTACAAATTTATCCTTAAACTATTTTAGATTTATAAAAAAAAATTATATGAAGTTCAGGGGTTAAAATAAAATTTTATCATTTCATTAAACCTTTTTATATTTTCAATTTTGTAATAAAAAATTATATAAATTTTATGAATTTTATTTTTTTTAAAGAAAATATATAAATATTTTCTAATTTGTTAAAAAACAAATATATAATAAGGACAATTTGGTCAAATATACATTCCAATAATCTTTTATTCCTTTAACCAAACACGGTAATCTTACATTCTTGTTAAGCCAACCAAACACAAAATACAACATTCCCAGTAATCTTATTCCCTGGTAATCTTACATTCCCACCGGTAATCTTACATTCCGTGAACCAAACGCACCCTAAAAATTAAAGTAACATATAAAAAATGAGCAAATACAAGATCATTATTAAAAGGTAATTATCATTCATTTTTTTATTAAGACATACTTGATTATTTTTAAAGTTCGCTTTCGTTCGAACATCATATTGAATCGTACTACATCGATAGGTTGTACTTTTCACATCCATTCTACAAAATTCATTCTTAAAAATTAATGCGAGTATTAAATAAGTGTAATGATAAGTATTATCGGATTTTAGGGGTATTCTAACATTTTTTAATAAAATATTTAAAAAGTTAACCATATTAATGCCCTAAAATAAACAAATGAATGCTAACATAAACTTTGATACAAGGTAAATATAATTAAAAGAGAAAATAACCTCAGTGACCAAAAATCTCAGATAATATACGATTTTGACCAACTTTTTTTGGATTTGCGAAAATGACCAACAAAATTGCAATGCGATCTCTAATTCGCATTGCGATCTCCACTATCGCAAATTCGCGTTGCATTTCGCGTTGCGATTTTTCATTTCGCGTTGCGATTTTCCAGTTCGCGTTGCGATAGTCTACAGTTGTCGTTGCGATTTTCCAAATTCGTTGCGAAAATTCGGTGTGATAGTTAAAAAAAATATTTTGTTTCTCTAAAAAGATAGTATCCGCGAGGACGTGTCGAAGACACGTATTACCACGACCACGACCACGACCCGACCCGACCCGACCCGATCCGACCCGATCCGAGACGAGAAGGACGGCGGCGGCGGCGGCGCGCGAGAGTCCCCCTTGTTCTCTATCACTCAACAAGGAAGTGAGAAAGCCAAGCCTTAAATACTATTCCCAATAATGTTTCCAATACTATGTGGGATTTGAGCATTACCAACACTTGTTCCCAATACTATGTGGGATTGAGCCTTAAATAGTGATATTATTTTTGAATGTTTTGCTTAAAATTGCAATAATCGCGATTGATTGTAGATTGACTTTTAATTATGACATATTTAATCGTATAATACTAATGCAATTGGTTGCTAATTCAGTTGTTTTAAGGTGCATGATTGTTAATTGTTTCCTGAATAATCACATTGTATTGGAAAAAAGTGTTGGTAATGCTCAATCCTACATAGTATTGGAAACACTATTGGGAATGGTATTTAAGGCTTGGCTTTCCCACTTCCTTGTTGAGTGATAGAGAACAAGGGGGACTCTCGAACGCCACCGCCGCCGCCGTCCGTCTCGGGTCGGGTCGTGGTCGTGGTCGTGGTCGTGGTAATACGTGTCTTCGACACGTCCGCGCAGATACTATCTTTTTAGAGAAAATTCTTAAGAAACAAAATCTTTTTTTCAAACTATCACAACGAATTTTCGCAACGAATTTGGAAAATCGCAAAGACAACTGTAGACTGTCGCAACAACAACTGTAGACTATTGCAACGCGAAATGGAAAATCGCAACGCGATTTTCAACTATCGCAACGCGAATTTGCGATAGTGGAGATCGCAATGCGAATTAGAGATCGCATTGCGATTTTGTTGGTCATTTTCGCAAATCCAAAAAAAGTTGGTCAAAATCGTATATTATCTAGAATTTTTGGTCACTGAGGTTATTTTCTCTAATTAAAATGGCTATATCAGAACTAAGGCAAAACCACGTGGATCTATTAGTAATAAACTATTTTTATTTTATATAATAAACGTGTAATTGGTTCCAAGGATGATCATTTAATAACCTAGAAGGATCTAAAGTGTAAATATTTTATTTCTTAGAGCATGGCAAATTAAGAACTAAAGTGTACTGAAACTAAAATTTAAGGGGTCAACTCAAATATTCAGCCAAAATAAACAAAACATGGATGATGACTAGAATATAAATGGAATAAAATAGAGTACTTGAAATGAACTAATTAAAGTATAGCATTTGGTGACCAAAATGTAAGGTTACAAAGCTACAGTGGCTACAAAAATAATTATCCCAATTGTTGAATGCGCATCATCTCTCCCTAAAAAACGACACCATTTTGGCACGAGAATAAAAGGCCAAAACATGGCTGAAAATGGCATCACTCCCTCATTTTGTTTCTTTCCTCTCTTTTTTCCCAAAATGAGAAATTTCATTTCTCTGACCTTTATCCTCATCGGGGGAAGCCAAGAGTACTCCGACTGTCGTGAAACCTTTCCAGCAAATTTGATGGAACTACCCTTGAAAGAGTTCGACATGATCCTAGGTATGGACTGGTTGTTTGAGCAAGATGTCAATTTGAAGTTCAAAGCCAGGCAGCTCAAGTTCAGGGAAGATGATGACACCAAATTAGTAATGAACAGTGGGAATTCAAGCCAGTCAAGGTTAGTGTCTACCATAAGAGCCCAACAGATGACCGAACAGGGTTGTGAGGCCTTCTTGGCTCATGGGGTTGATACCCAAATCTTAGTTCCATCATCTTTGGATATCCGAATAGTGCAAGATTTTCCCAACGTGTTTCTAGAGGAATTTTTGGGTTTGTCGCCCGATCGTGAGATAGAATTTGGCATTGAGGTAATTTCTGTCGTAGCCCTAGTGTCCATTCTCCTTATCCGCATGGCACCAACAAAATTAAAAAAGTTAAAAACTCAGATTCAGGAGTTACTAGAGAAAGGTTTCATCCGACTGAGTATTTCCCCTTGGAGAGCGTCGGTCCTGTTCATGAAGAAAAAGAACGGATCAATGAGGTTGTGCATCGACTACATACAATTAAACAAGTTGACCACCAAGAACCGTTACCCATTTTTGAGGATAAATGATCTCTTTAACCATTTTAGGGGAGCGTGTTTATTCTCCAAGATTGACTTGAGGTCAGGTATTATCAGTTGAAAGTCAAGGATATCGATATAGAGAATATAACTTTCAAGATAAGGTACGGTTATTACAAGTTCCTAGTGATGCTGTTTGGACTCACCAGTGCCCTGGCTGCATTCATGGACTTGATGAATTGATTTTTTTCAACCTTACTTGGATCAATTCGTAGTAGTGTTCAAGACGACATCCTAGTGTACTCTCACTCAGAAGATGAGCATGATCAATATCTTCGCATTGTTCTTCAGATCATTTGAGACCGTCAAATGTATACCAAGTTTAGGAAGTGTGAGTTCTGGCTCTCACAGGTAGCATTTCTTGGGCATATAGTGTCAGCGGATGGCAACAGAGTTGACTCTTAGAAGATTTGAGCAATAGTTGATTGGGAACTACCTAAGAATGTTTTAGAGGTACGAAGCTTCCTAGGTTTAGCCTGATATTATCGTCGTTTCATTCAGGGCTTTTTATGATAACTACCCCTTTGACTAAACTGCTTCAGAAATGAGTTTCCTTTTTTGTGGGATGAGAAACGACAGAAGTAATTCGACCAGTTAAAGACCATCCTAACTCAAGCCTAAGTTTTGACTCAATCGGAGTTAGGTAAGGACTTTATAGTTTTCAATGATGCCTCGTTGAATGACCTTGGATGCATCTTGATGCAAGAAGGAAAGGTGGTGGCCTATGCATCTCGTCAGATTAAACCCCATGAGCGTAATTATCCTACCCACGATTTTGAGCTAGCATCTATTGTGTTTGCCTTGAATATTTGACGACATTACTTGTTTGGTGAGAAATGTACATCTTCACGGATCACAAGAGTCTTAAGTATCTACTCACCCAGAAGGAGTTGAACCTAAGATAACATATATGGGTTGAACTACTCAAAGATTACGATCGTGTAATAGATTACCATCCGAGAAATGCCAATGTAGTAGTAGACACCTTCAGCAGAAAATTAATATTAGAGTTACGAGCCCTTCTGGCATGGTTAAGTTTATCCAGTGGCACTGGGTTGTTAGTTAAATTGTGAGTTGAACCATAATTGGTAAGTGAAGCCAAGAGATTGCATAGTTCATATGATTGGTTGAGAGCTCGTATTGAGCAAATATGTCAGGGGTCGGCTGTGCATTCTCGCAGATGCTTAGTTGTGTAGTAATATTCTCTAAGAGGCGTATTACATTCCACTCTAAGTGCATCCAGGCATTAATAAGATTTATCAGGAGCTTCGTCGATTGTTTTGGTGGCTGGGCATAAAAAGTGAAGTGTTTGAGTTCTTCACTAGATGTCTAGTGTGTCAACAGGTAAAGACGGAGCACCAGGTTCCTTCAGGTCCGCTTCATTCCATTTAGATTTCTTAGTGGGAATGGGACAAAGGGACCATATACCTTGTGACCGGGTTACCAATGACTAGACAGAGGAATAACGCAGTTTGGGTCACATCTGACCGTTTGTCCAAATCAGCTCACTTCCTCCCACTTAGGATGAATTACACCTTAGAAATTAACTCAGTTGTACATCTGAGAGATAGTGAAGTTGAATGGTGTACCCAATTCCATCATATTAGATAGAGATCCTCGCTTTACTTCCCTTTTCTAAAGAGCCCTTCATGAATCTTTAGGCACCAAACTAAATTTCAGCAGAACTTTCCATCTCGAGATAAATGGCTAGTCAAAACATGCTATTCAGATCTTGGAGGATATGCTTAGGTGCATTGTTATAGATTTTGAGGGAATTTGAGAAGACCACTTACCTTTGGTGGAGTTTTCTTATAATAATAATTTTTAGTCGAGCATTCAGATGGCCCCGTATGAGGATAAGATAGTAGGTCCAGACTTAATCATAGAGACAGAAGAGAAAATTTGGTTTGTTCAGAACCAATTAAAGGAAGCCTCAGATAGGAAGAGGTCTTACGTAAACTTGAAGAGTAAAAATGTGGAATTTGCAGTTGGGGACAAGGTATTCTTCAAGGTCTCTCATTGGAAGAAATTACTTCGCTTCGAGCACAAAGAAAAGTTAACTCAACGCTTTATAGGACCTTATGAGATGCTTGAGAGACTTAGACCAGTGGCCTAGAGATTAGCTTTGCCCACAGATTTGGAGTGCATTCATAATATGTTTCATTTATCTATGCTCAGAAGATATCGTTCCGATCCTTCTCATGCCATACCCCTAGAGCAAATCGATGTTAGTCCAGATATGACTTATTCAGAGAAGCCAGTTAGAATTCTAACAAGGGATGTGAGGGAATTAAGGAGTAAAAAGATTTCTTTGGTTAAGGTGCTATGGAGGAACTATGGTGTTGAGGAAGCGAATTGGGAAACCAAGGAGGATATGCAACTCCAATACCCTCACCTCTTCTTTCCATGTAAATTTCGAGGATGAAATTTTCTATTAGGAGTGGAGAGTTGTAATGCCTCGATTTCTAGGTTAGAAGTTTTGAGTTATTTACATTTTTGGGAGATTCCAGGCCTTAGAAACGTTTTAATCTTCCTCTAAGTTTTCCAATAACAATAGTAACTTATATGTTATTTTCATGTTAGTGAGAGAAGTTGGAGAAACCTTTCAAGCCAAGGGAAAGGAGAAGCTAGTACTTGGTTGAGTTTTTGGGGATTTTAGCAGCCTAAGGTTTCAAGGCAACTATCTCCTAACTCAATTCTACCACATGTAGCTCATTAGATGAGTTTTAGTTAGTTGTATGAGTTGTAGAACATGTTCATGGTAGATAGCATTAATAGATGTTTTAGTGTATTATAAATTCTCTTTATGACCCTTTTAATTATGCATAACACACTAATAACAATTGGGCACCTCAATGGGAAGTTTTGGGGCAAAAGTTGGCAACTTTCAAGGTCAAAACTAGGGATTTTTGAGTAGATGTATTAATACTGGAAGAACAATACCGATACTATTTTTCAGTCAAGAGTAAAACAATACAAATTTTAGGAAGAAGTATTGATACTGTTGAGTTAATTGATTGACGAATATGGCCAAGAGGGGGGTGAATTGGCAATTAAAATTTGGTGGAAGCTTTTGCAGAAAATTGAAAGAAATTTGCACAGCAATTTAGAGTGGTTCGACTTTCTCAACCAAAGTCTACGTCCACTACCTTAGCTATCCACACTAAGGATTTTCCAAAAATTCACTAATTTGTCTTTCTTTTGAGGACAAAGAGTAACCTTACAAACCCTCAAGAATTATACCCCAAATTCTTGAGAACACTCTCTCCCAAAGAGAACAATACAAATTTGCAAACTTACAAGGAAATCCTCACAAGGTAGATTGTTTGCACAATTCTAGAACAAAGAAAAGAACACTCAAGAATGAATACAATTGAGCACAATAAGTGTTCTTGAAAGCAAAATGAATATTGAATGAAAAATAGGCTTGAAATGCTCAAACTTGAGTTTTGATGCATTCTCTTTGATTCTCTCTTGATTCTAGTTGCTTGATGTTTCTTGTTTTTGATCAATGGCTTCTAAGCTTGCTTAAATACACATTGAATAACTTCTGAACGTTGGGGATCATTAATGAAGGTTTTGGAGCCGTTTAAGTGTGAAAACAATTAATATTTATGCTTGGAGCGTGGGGGGAATCGGTACCCCTAATGGGGAATCGGTTCCCTAGGTGTAAAATTCAAATATTTCGACTGTTGAACAGTGGGGGGAATCGGTACCCTGGGGGGAATCGGTTCCTCTGAGCATACTGGAATTCTCGGAGCCAACCTTCAGGGGGAATCGTACCCCCTTGGGGGGGATCGATTCCCTCTGAGCAATCTGGAATTTTGGCTTTGAAATGGTTCGAAATACTTTGTAAATTGTTTGAAATTATTTTAAGTTTAAAACTTAATTTTACACTTGAGTAAGGATTAAAAATGACATTTGAAAGATTTGGAGTAATATTTTGATATTCGAATAATTATCGAATATACTTAGAAATATTTGGAAAATCTTAAAATTCATTTATCTTAATTTGTTATATCGAAATATCAAAATGTTTTCAACAATCTCCCCCTTTTTGATATAACAAAACATTTTAGTAATTTTAAGATTTTGAAATCAAGTTTTGAAATTACTCCCCCTTACTCTAACACTTCTCCCTTTTCAAAAACTCCCCTTTTAAATTAATAACATTTCTCCCCCTTTTTGTTAAATAAAAAAGATTTGTAAAAGAATTTAAACAATGTTTTGAAATCATTTAGCCAATTGATTATATATAGTTTAAGCTGCTAAGATCACAATCAAGAGAAACGTTAGCCATTAGTTCATAATCATATTCATAAACAATGTGACATGGCAAAATTGGTCATATATCTAACATGATGTAAATGATGAAAGAATGAAGAAATTTAACCACACCAAATATATAAGTTCAAACATCCATAATCCATCAAATAAGTTCAAATATCCAACAACAAAAGGAAAACAATTCAAAAACATTCAAAATGTTTAAACAATAAGCTTTAAGTTCAAAGTACTAAAGCAAAACACAAAATCAAGCATCCGTAGGAGGATCGGGAGGAGGAAAACGAGCTCGCATAGCGGCCATATCATGAGTGAGTTCATTAATACGAGCGTTGGTTGCTTCATTGTTTGCACGCATTTCCTGAAGAATTTCCAATTGTTGAGTTCCCATTGTGGATAAATGGGACTCTATAGAAGTAAAGCGCGAATCTATGGTATCATATAGAAAATCGAATGTCTCTATAAAAGATTGAAAATATGGGGTATTTTCAGAAGATCAAACCCATTCACCGGTGTCCTTATTCTTTATCCATCCCGCTCTCGTTAAGGAAAGAAGATTAATTTGTTTCTTTAGAGGAAAGACGACATCTAGACCTACTCTAAGCCCGGCTTTAGAAAAAAGATTACTCAGAATGCAACCGTAAACTAGAGATGAACAGAGTTTCTTGTTAGGAACAAGATTTACGGTTTCAACGATTTCAACAAAAATAATCAGAGGTAGGTTTATTTTAATACTGTTTTGGAAACAATGTAACCACCAAAGATCTAAAGCACGAAGAGTAGAGTAACGACCTCCGGATGATCGAAACCACCAAGAAAATCATTAGATGAAGAAAACGATCATGAAGGTCTAAGACACTCACACTATCCCTTCTTTTGTACCGAGAACCTAAAAGCTGTTTTTCATTTGATATACCATCATTATCTAATCCTAATTCATTAGCTATGTAAGCTGAGTCAAGATGGATGAATTGTCCTAGGAGATAGGAATGAACTGCTATGGTTTTTGTTTGAGCTCGATTTTTAACACACACGACATTAGAATAGAATATGCGAACAAGTTGATGGTAAACTATAGGTTCAAGGTCACAAAGTTTATCAAATTTCCACTCTTGTGAATGAGGAAGATATCTAAAATTGATATCTATCATAGCTTGACGAGAATGGATACATTCTTCTCTAATTTTGTAAGAGTCAAAATATTGATAATACCAAAAACGATGATTTCTAGGAGCAGGATGATTGAAGCACGAGTTTTTGATAGTCATATTAGGATCAATGGGATTAGGATTAAGAATTAGAATTTCAGGAATAGGAGGAGGATTTTGAGGTGGATTTGGTTGACGGTTTGAGCGACTAGATGATGACCTAGCACGTTTAGGATTGGACATTGTTTAGAAATCAGAATAGAATGGATAACCTGCAATTTAGAAAACACATGTATGCAATTCAATTAATCCCAAAACTCAATTGAGTTCTCAATATTTCAAGGTTCTCTAAACCAATCCTAATGGGCAAAGTTTTTGAAAACTATTAAAAAATAAGGTTTTAAAAATCAGTATATGTATAGTTTTCATAACAACAACATAATTCAATCAAAACACGATAATTTGAAAAACAATTTTTTTTATTTCAAAAATTTCAAAGAATTTTGGAAAATTCTTGTGTTTTTGATGAAATTAGTTGTAAAATCAAGTTTCTAATCACTAAACAATCAATGCCCGATCACTATTTCTATCTAGAACTAATTGAAACTAGTCCTATGTTCAAAATTAATGAAATAGAGAGTTTAGAAAAATTTACCTTGAAAGATAAGATTAAGTGGATTTTGATGTTGTTTGCACGATTTTAATGATGCTAGCAAGTTTAGAAGATGATATTTTGAAGAGAATTCCGATTAAAAACATTGTTTTGAGGCAAAGTGGAGATTTGAGAGAGTGGAGGGGAGAAACGACGTGAAGAGAAGAGAGGATTTGAGGTAAAAACAAGGGTTCTGCCCGATAAAACCAGAACCCCAGGGGGTATCAATTCCCCTAGGGGGAATCGGTTCCCCTTCAAAGGGGGAATCGATTCCCCTTCAAGGGGTATCGATTCCCTCTGCCCTATAATTTAAAAATCTATATTTTAAACACTAAAAATGCTAAATTAATCTTCTCTAGTGGTATTGGCAACTCATATATCAAAAATTAATTATGTTCAATCAATCAAATTAGTCCTTAAACTACATTTGAACATAAAATTAATTTTTCATCAAAAATCATAAACTCCCCCTAACTAATAGCAATGAATGTAATCATAAATTACTATTATAAGCATTTTTCATTTAGTCTTAAAAGTGCTAAAATTATTTTAAACACTGAGTGAAGATAGGTCAGTTAAACCTAATTCTCTCCTAAGTGTCCAAAAACGTTCCTTATCTAAAGGTTTTGTAAAGATATCCGCTAATTGATGCAAAGTATCAACAAATTCTAGAACTACATCTACCCTAAGTAAGAACTCGTCACTAGAATTATTGGGATACGATACACAGTTCTTCATTCTACCATTGCGACTACGCTCAAAACACAAAACCATCACCACTTCTGTAAAAAATGATACAAAAAAGAAGCACCATCAAGATTTCAGTCTTATAAGAGTGCTTTCAATACCTAGGAGCAATGTATTCACTAATACCTTACTATAACTGACCACTGGGTCCTAAGATCAATTCAACCCGACGCTTTGATACCACTAAATGTAACACCTTAATCCAATCCAACCTAAAGTATGGAGGATTTAGATGTCATAAGGAACCACCTAAGTGCTTAACATTTTTTTTAAAATCAATACTTATAATCACCATTTAAAAATCAGTAGTTCAAATAGTAATAAAATACTTTTATAAATCGGAGCTCCATGACACATAATTTAAACCAAATAATAGAACTCAAAGTTTACAATCCTTAATACATAAGTAAGAGTCATATGAATACATATGCCCACTACAAGTAACCATACAATACTCTGTGAGGAAAGATGGAAATCCTACTATGACGGTGCTCCTCGAATGACTTAGTATACGAAACTAAGATTTGAAAACATTTGAATGCCGAGCTTATAGATCCCAGTAATATATAATCTAGAGCAGCATATGAATCTCAT